ATGCTGCACTGCATCAAAATGATAAGTAGAGATAAGATATCAACTTCACAACCATCTTAGACAAGGACTTGGGAGGGGAGGAAGGTTGCCGGGGAGGTCGAGGCTCGAGGGAGAGGGAGGAGTTGGAGAGATGGAGACCACTGCTCCCGACGTGGAATTTGGCCGCGGACTCCACGAGGAAGGCGGTGGCGCCGCCGGCGGGGGTGCGCCTGCTCGTGCCTGGGGAGGATGGAGGGGATCTTGCGTGCGGAGGATGGAGGGGATCCTGCGTGATGCGTATTCACTAAAATCGGGACGGCGGGTTTAATTCATAAAAACCACGGGGACCTTTGCATAAAAACGCCGCAAGGGTGAACCACGGAAATATTGGGATCTAACAAAGGGAATATGTCCTTGGTTAGAAGTACAAGAAAGAAATCAGGGGTATGGTTCGAAGTAAGTCTCCCGTCATGGACATGATCCTTGAAAATTAAGCATCCTTTATATATACTTGTCTGCATTAATATCTCCCCTCTGAAGTTTGGGACCTTGAAGGAATATTTGGGACGAAGTTTTCCAAGTTTTGTTGCACAGAGGAAGCATATGCCATTTATTTAGAAGTAGTACAAGAAAGGAATCAGGGGTATGCTTGGAAGTAAGTTCCCCACCATGGATACGATCCTTGGAAATCAAGCATCTCTTCGCCTTGTGCTTGTTTGCATTCATATATTTCATCTGTACTTTTTATATATATGTGTACAGGTGACCTCAAAGGAACACTTTGAAATGAAGTTTGCAAAGTTTGTTGCACAGAGGAGAGGAGCATTGATCTCAAGTTCTTAACAGAATGATGTGCTAGGGTGCAACGCAATTCTTCTAAATCAGGTGTGCCTCAATTTTTTCATAATGAGCTAATCTGTTGGACAAGTGCATATGCAAATATCGTATGGCCATTCTTAACATCGATCCTTTTACATTTCTTAATTTCCTGTTTGATATTTAATGCGATATTGGTGCACCATGTCATATGGTAAACACAGAAATCTTGGGTGCTCTTTGGGCATTTAATAGAGATTTGTACTTATTGTGATCCTTCTTGTACTTGTAAGAGCATCTTCAATAGTTTGTATGTTAGCTTGTTTGTAAAATATGACATGTCATCAACCAACATCTTAACATACAACAACTTCAATAAGTTGTATCTAGTTTGTCTAATAGGATGTGAGATATAATAAATAAGGTGCTCTCTCATTTACATTGGAGCTTGTGCAAGGGGTGTTGGTTCATGTACATACAACCTTCCTCTCTTTCCCCACTTATTGTATGACACATCATAAAAAATCATATGTGTCAAAGTCTACCGGCAACTACCTTACAACCATTGGAGACGCCCTAAACGGGGAAAACAATTTTGTTTTGCTTAACTGTTTTGTCCGATGAAGTTCCGTTGAAGAGTCGAGCATAATGTTAGCCCTAGCTGGTTCCATATTATGATCATAGAAAGAGATTAGGAATATAAACACTGTCCATGATGCTGTAACATAAACCACACTGATCTGACATTGTTCAATTAAGCTGACTGTGGCGTCCGATTTCGATCCGCCGCCAGCCGAGCCGCCCGCCGACCGCGGCCTGCCTGGTGCCTGGCTGCCTGCCCCGCCCGCCGCCCGGCCGGCTGCTGTCCGCGCAGGGGCGCACGGCGCAGCACCGCGCCCAGCCGCCCCGCTAGCCCCCCATCCCCATCCCCATCCCCTCATCTCTGAATCTCTGATTTAGAATTTTTTTTGACTAGATGTAGTACATAAGTAGATGAACTAATACACATAATTTTGACTAGCAGCAGCGCCTCCAGCCCTCCAGGCTCCAGCAGCAGCGCCCCGCCAGCCCAGCCCAGTCCACTGCACTACTGCTGTGCCTCCGGGAGAGCTCATCAGCTTCAGAGAAAGAGAGGTACTGACCCGGTGACCCCAAATCTGAGAACATAGTATTCTTTAAACTTCTCAGGTATGTAGTATGTACTATGTAGTCTTCTTTTATACAAAACTGAGACATAATTACGAATTTTAGTGTGTTTGTAAGACCACATTGATCTATTTCTATATGTTATTGATAATTAGTTAGGTCGTCCACATGTCATGTTTGTTGTCATTTTTTATTTTTTGTGGAATCGGCCCACCCTGTTGTCAAATGCTAG